CCCTTCTCGTCGTTCATCTTGATCCGAGAAAAAAAAAAAAAAAAAAAAAAAAAAAAATCTTCTAACCTTAAAATTAATAATTTTTTACAACATATTTGATTTAAAAACTTTGCTTTTCAAGAAAATTAATTATTATCTTTTTTAGAAAAAGTTCGGCCCAGTTTTTACTCTTGGGCCCTATCGTTAAGCCCACGGCCCACCATGGAATATCAGACTTTCGCGCGGTCCTATAAATTCTTCCCATTCAGACCAATTCCCTCCGTTCTATTCCGATCGAAACCTCTGCAACTCCTTCCCTCAAACCCTAGGAATCAAATCTCATGGTGAGTTGCTATCTGCATTTTCTTGTTGATTCATCTCCAAATTATTCTTTCTTTCTTTATTCCTTTTCATTTTCTTCTGGAACTTCTGTACTGATTCTACTTGTTGTGGTGTTTGTTGTTGTTTTTGTTTTGTATCGTTTGAATCGTAGGCACCAAAGAAGGATAAGGCTCCTCCACCGTCCTCCAAGCCCGCTAAATCTGGTGGAGGAAAGCAGAAGAAGAAGGTAAGCTTCTTAGAATTAAATACCGCTAGCGGTTTCATGATTCGTATGCCGATGTATGCCTAGCCCTATCGTTCAAGAAGATCATTTAATAAGATTTAGTTCTTTTAATTTCCTCTGGTTTTACTGCATTGCTTAGACGGAGTGTTATGTGTTTTTCTGAAGTTAGTATTGCTGAATTTTATTTCAACACTTTTGTAATTAGGTCTTCATACATTACGTAGCATATCCTTCTTCACCGTACAGTGTTCACAAAACTAGCTTAAGGCGTTAAATATGGGGCAATCGGAAAGTGATTTTTCATTCGATTAGGAAGAAAATTCAAGGCCTTCAAAAATACAATGAGATGTTTGGAATCCAGTGAAGTTTGTTGAATAGGAGGATCACTATGATTTTCTTTTTGGTATTAAGCTTTATATGGTGGTTATCAATTGGATTGCAGAAATGGAGCAAAGGCAAGCAAAAGGAGAAGGTGAACAACATGGTTTTATTTGATCAGGCAAGTTATGATAAGCTCCTTTCTGAAGCTCCCAAGTTCAAGCTGGTCACTCCGTCTATCCTTTCTGATAGGTTGAGGGTATGTCTTTTCTTCCTTTTACTCATCTGTGGTTTTGCCGGTTGTCTGCAATCTTTTTTTTTGTTCTTGGCCTGAATATGTTGAGAAGAACTGGGCATTTATCCTAAACCCATTTGGTGTTTCAAACAATTAAAATACCCAACCCACACACTTAGTCTACTTATGAACATGAAATTCTTAGTTAAGGAGGAATCAGATTGGCAGGGTACTGAAATTTATGCAGGCCTTTTTGACTAATACAAGTTTCTTATAGATCAATGGGTCGCTCGCACGAAGAGCAATTAAGGATTTGATGGCACGGGGTTCCATCAGGATGATATCGTCTCACTCCAGTCAGCAGATCTATACAAGAGCAACCAACGCCTAAGGCTATGGCACGGGGTTCATATGAACTCTTTCCTGGAAGGCCATGGTTATGTAGTTCCCTTCCCCATTTTGCAATTCCGAATTTTGTCCATTGATGAAATTATCTTTTAGTCCGTTCCAATGGCTGGATGATCTTTTAATGTGATGTGGTCTTTTATTTGTTAATCAGGTTTTTCGCGATGTGGTCTTTATTCGTTGATTGCGGGTAGTTATGTTTTTTTTTTTTTTCTAGCTCTAATCATAATGTGCCAGTCGTGTAGAAGTTGGCTTTAGTTGCAAGTTGGAAAAAATTAACAAGGATTTGACAATAGTCTCAATGTCCTCTAATAAAATGTTAACCAATTATAAATTTGAATTTGAATTTAAAAAAATTAACCGATCTAATGTCCCATCAATTGTTTTAGTAAATAAAAGCTAAAAACCTCAACCAATTTACATCCTACTTGTCTGAAGGATACCAAGTTTATAAAGAAACTGTTAAAGAAAAGTATTTGAACCAGTTCATCTGATAGTAATCGATTCATTTGACCTTTCATAATAAACATTTCACCATTAAGCATAAGAGCAATTAATTAAATAATAGTCTCTTGGATCCAAAACTAAAAGCCATACCAGAAATTTGATTTAAATTCCCACTTGTATGGCCAGGAGAGGCACTCAGGCTTTAATTACTGGCTTCCACTTTCTTCTATACAGGAACTTTACAAATGTAAAAGTGGGTGGTGCAAGAGAATTTTAAAGCCTAACTGGAAACTTAAAAGATCATTATAAATGAATAATGTTCAATTTTGCAAAACCGGTGACATAAAATTCGCATTAGTACACGAGCACAGTTATTGTAGTCTTGGCATGATTGAATTTCAATCAGACTTGAACGATAAAAATACACATAAACAAAGAAATCAGTACAAATCACCTTCCTTGTGCGTGTGGATGACACAGTCGGATTGTGGGTATGCAACGCAGGTCAGGACATAACCCTTCTCCATTTGATTGTCGTCCAAGAACGATCCATCTGATTGGTCCACTGTCCCAGAAACAACTTGACCGGCGCAAGTAGAGCAAGCTCCAGCCCTGCAAGAGTAAGGTAGATCCAATCCAGCATCCTCAGCTGAGTCCAGAATGTAAGCATCATCAGGGGCCTCAAACTCATTCTCTTCACCGTTTGGTCCAATCAATTTCACTTTGTAAGTAGTAGCCATTGCTGTCACTTTGAATGAAGAAGACTTCAATCCAAATGCCCGGGATACACTCCTAACAGAACGCAAAGAAGATGGCCTCTGCACAAGGGCACAGGATCTCCTTGGTGTAGCACTTTTAATCAGGCAAGATGTTGGAAGATTGATAGCCGACATTGAATAGTGATAGCTGAAGCCATGAAGATAAAATTAGGGAATTTAAACAGAGAAACTGCAACCATCTATTAGACACAACAGAAGACTGAAGGTAATCAATTACGCAGCAACCTTATCTACTTCAATGCAAACCATACATGTTTATATATGTTATTGTTACAAAACGTGGCTTCCAGCAAAAATGAATCATGCAAGATCTTGACTACTAAACATCTTCCCCAATATTTCATGTCAAGATGCTGGATATTCCATCAGCAACGCCAATCCGCACATACACCAGCAAATGATGAAAAAGAGCTTGGACGTCGGTTTAAGAAAAAATCAATCGAGGATGTGGGATAGATCTAGATGATGTATTGGACGTGGAAAGCATCAACAAATTGTAACGAAAAATCTATCTTATAAATAAATAAATAAATAAATAAATAAATAACTCACTTCGATTGTTCTATGATGATAGCAAAAGAAGTGAAAAGAATAATGGCAAAGCCTTTTGGTTATGCAAATGAAAAGAATACGCCAACCTGAGCAAAAGAGGCGCCAATTATCATTCCAAAAGTAGATGGTTCAATCAGGTTCAACAGCATAAAAAGAGGTTACAGAAAAATTGGAGACCAAGAAAGCAAAAAAGGCCAAGATCCAAAAAAAAAATCCACATCATCCCGCAAAGCAAACAGAAGAACTTTTAAAAAATCATTAACAAGTCTTCATTTGGAAATGAAATAAGAACTAAACAAATTATCAAGCATGCAAGGGGATAAAATGACAACAGAAACATCAAGTTTCCGGAAAAAAGAAAAAAGAAATTCCTGAACTATTCCAAAATTGAAAAACGAAACCAATATTCTCTAATGTCAAGCGCTTATCGGTTGAGCTTCTAACACCGTAGTACAATAAGCGAAAAACAGACAAATCATAAGAAATCAACAGTCTATAATAGCCAAAAAGCTCGATCCACTCCTCGCCCGAAACAAACACAACATAAACCGTAAAAAGCAACCAAAGATCCACAAAATAAACAGCGACTAACAAGAAAAGCGAAAAAGCAAATTTACAGAACCGCAGGTCGCAATCAAAACAATGAAAAGGACAGATTATAGTACGAAAAAGAGAACAGAAAATCAAAAACAGAGAGGATTGAAGAAAGACGAAGATCAAAAGAAATGAAAAAGAAAAGATAGAGAAGAACATTACGAGGAGAGGCGATCCGCAGAGGGCGTGAAAAACGGAGGAAGCCGCGAAGAGAGAAATGGAAAGTAGCCCTAACGATGCTGCCGCCAAGTACGTGTTTGTTTTTGTCGCTGGCTTTCCTTTCTTAAGAGCAGATTCCAAATGAGGACGCCTGAGTTGGTGAGCCGAGTTTCGATTCTCTACGGCCGTTTCTATTTTAACTCTGTAAGAAATTGCTAGAACCTTTGCGATCCTTCCGTTGGATTGGTCAAAAAATAATTACGAAATTAAAATAAATACATATAATTGTATCATAATTAAACAATACCAAAATTAATTTTAGAAAAATTTAAAAGTTTGGTTCTTTTTTATGTGTCGGGTTGATTTGGTTCTCTTTTATCAGCTTTTCCCTCACGTTTACGCCTTTTCAGAAAACTGAAAGTAGGAGAGATCGGGATCGGGTTGATTTGGTTCTTTTTTATCAGCTTTTCCCTCGCGTCTCTGCCTTTTCAGAAACATAACACAGTAGAAATAAACTCTTATGTCAGTGAAAATAGGAGATTAGTGAAAATAGGAGATTGGGAATAGAGATTGGACATAATGACCTAATCAAATCTTCAAACCTGAAAATAAAAATATCGACACGTAACGGGAATTTAATAACTCTTATTTGATTAAAATACCCTACCCACCGCCCGTTCACGTTCCTATTAATATTAAAGAGGTTCGAATATTTGAATTCTTATTCTCAAAATTATTGTGCTATATTTTAAAAATAAAAAATATTTTCATTATGATTAGCAGGGGTGTACATTCAACCCGACGAACCGGACCAACCCAACCTGACTATAGCTACTCTTCAAGGCTGAACAATCCAACTTACAAGATTACAAGGGGAGTTGGAAATGGCCTATTAGATTCATAGTTTTGCTCTTCAACTACCAGAAAGAAGCATAGAACTCACATCGTTGTCTTTCTTCTTCATCGGAGCGGATAACCGATGTTTCGACCATTCTTCCAAGGCTTTGCATTGAGTAGAATTCATGTGAATGCAAGGTCGTTTTTCTTTTACTATCTTCTCGGCATTTTTCCAATCGTCGGCCGCTCCAAAAGCTACTAACACTGCACATGTAACGACGACACTTCTTCCATGACCTGGAAAACACGAAGGAAGATGTCGATAACGTTAGCATAGTACAGTCACTAGTGGAATGTAACATGGGGGTCTTTGTACAAGAGACATTGATTTCAAATACTCACTAACAATGCAAATATAACAGGAACACATCTCGTGTGACCTATCAGATTTTGGACTAACGAAATTGCAAAGAGATCGTATAGAGAGGGAGCACGCATCGTCGGTTGGCTCCAAGCTAAAAGGAGACATTATACGACCCGAGTTCAATAGCTAAGACATCCCTACTGAGTTTGAAACCCGACTCTAATATTCTTTAAGAGAAAAAGCAAACCTTCAAACAATACTATTCTAGATTTGAAGTTAGCTCAGCATGAATATTGCTAATCATTTGTGCAACCCAGGCTTAAATTTTGTAAAGTAGTAAGTTAAAGCAGCACGGTTTCGATGGCGGGCATCGTAAGCAATTAGCAGGGTGGCGGGATAGAAGGTCGAAATCTAAGATCGTATCCTAGGAAAAATCTCAAGAAGTCACACAACATAAAATTGCTCCAAACAAAGCACGTTTAATCATGGAGTTCCTATAATTGAGCCACCAAAAAGGAAGGTGCACAATGTTGGTATAGATAGTAATTTTCTCATTCGAATATGATTTTAGGTTTCATTCATGTATCCTTTCTCTATTCGGGTGTCAAATTTTCAATCCAACTTGAAAGTTTCATGAATGTAACAGTATCGATAGATACAAAAATGAAAATTCTCCATTGATTCAAAGACAACCAGCGAGATATCATCAATAACAAACAACATCATAGAAGCATAGTCATCAACTAAGATCCAGTAACCAACCAAAGGAAAACTAGAGAGAAAGCTTCAAACTCCTAAACGTATCTATACAACTTTATACATCTAATTCAATCAAGAATCAAAGCTTCTCAACAAATCAGTAAAGCTAGAGAGCTTACCATAAGCACAATGGATGAACACAGGCTTCTTCTGCTCTCTCTTCCTACAAATCCACCGAACGGCCGATTCAATTTCTTCAGGCAGAGGAGACCGTGTGTCCCAAGTCGGGATACACAAATAACCATCCCCAGAGACATCCAAACACCTAGGCAATTCACAAGTACAATCAACAATGGCAGGATTACAAGGTGGCAATCTATCAGGTGAAGTAGGCCACCCCCCGACGTATAAACCCTCAAAAATCTCAGTGTACGGATCCTCCCTAAGGTATAATCCACGAAATGAAGGAAGATACCGAATGAAAAGCAAAAACGGAGCAAAAATGACGATCGACCAAATCGGAAAAGTTCCATCCGGTTTCTTCCCCAAAAGCAGGGGGAGATTGATCGATGGAAGAGAAGCAACTGAAATCAAGAGAGAAACTAAAGAGGCGTACAGGAATTGAAACGATAACAATCTGAAGCCAATAAATCTAAGAAATAGAAATAGAGAAAACAAGGCTGCTGCCTTCAATCCAATCAAAGATGAAATTCCTGGATTCATCGTTTTCGAGCCTTGAAGATTCAGATTTTTCGAAACCTAGAAAGAACGTCAGGTCAGAACATCAAAAAGTTTCTTACAGTTTGGAAATCTATTGCGATCTTAAGAAACATGATGCCAAGATCGACGGTATGAAGCAACATCCAGTCCCCGCCACCATTTCAATCGGAAAAAATGAAGCCAACAGAAAAAATTATGTTATGTTCTTCTTGCTCTACAAATTTCAATATACTTATGAAATCGCCTTGATTTCTCACTTCACTCGCTTCTCATTTATAGTTTAAACAAAAATTTCCATTACATCAAATAACGTTCAAATTTTCTTTATTTTAAAATTTTAAAATTAAAAAACATTTAATCCATAAAGTTTTGTTTTTAGTAATTGTGACGCTAAATTTGAATATATCATAATTTAGTTTCAATATTCTAATAATTCAGATTTTATTATATAAAAAAATAGACACGTGCGGTTAAAGACGTAGAGCCATAACTATTCAACAACTATACTTCAATGTCAGTATCAATATTAATCTGAACATAACTTAATAAATAAGATATTTATTACAAGTAAGAAACGGACGATATCAATATCAATATGAGAATAACTTAATAAATAAGATACGTATTACAGGTAAGAAACAGACCTATATTAATATCAATCTAAACATAACTGAGTAAATAAGATACTTATTACAAGTAAGAAATGGACCGATATCAATATCAATTTGAGCATAACTTAATAAATAAGATAAAACGGACATATATCAATATCAATCTGAACATAACTTAGTAAATAAGATACATATTACAAGTAAGAAACGAACAAATATCAATATCAATTTGAGCATAACTTAGTAAATAAGATATGTGTTAAAAAGTAAGAAATGAACAATATTAATACCAATATGAGCATAACTTAGTAAATAAGATATGTATTAAAAGTAAGAAAGGGACAGATATCAATATCAATCTGAACATAACTTAGTAAATAAGATACTTATTACAAGTAAGAAACAGACAGATATCAATATCAATCTATTAAAGTAAGAAACAGACGGTATCAATTTCAATATGAGAATAACTTAGTAAATAAGATACGTATTAAGTAAGAAACAGACAAATATCAATATCAATCAGAGCATAACTTAGTAAATAAGATAATTATTACAAGTAATAAACGGACAGTTATCAATATCAATCTAAGCATAACATTGTAAATAGAATACGTATTAAAAGTAAGAAACGAATTGATATCAATATCAATATCAATCTAAACCTAACTTAGTAAATAAGATAGTTATTACAGGTAAGAAACGGATCGATATTCTTTGAAAAAGAAAGCAAGCATAGTAAGGAACTTAGTCCCTACTACTTCCATTATCCTGCTCGATAGCAACAAATATAGTATTTCCTGGAGCAATTGCTGCGCCTGTTTTCAACATATTGATAGCACCAGCAAGCTTACTGTTTTCTGGACTTTATTTAAGGCCTTTGGCTTTGGCAATTGTTTCTCCCATGACAGCAGTTTTCGAGATCTGAATCGAGCAGCTGCATTTATCTGTCCTGCTGGAACTGGACCTCGTGATGCTTCACGTACTTCGCCAGGAGGCTTCGTCCTTCAATGGTAGCAGCTTTCCTGTACACTGTGATGATTTGAAATGATGAGTGTTTTTATAGGAAGTAGCATCGACGTATTCGAGATAAACGTAAGGTAGAACAACGGACTCTAAGAAGATGAGAAGACAAAAATTCGAGTAAAAGAATATTCTGTTTCGTTCTTGATAGAGAATGCAGTTGCTATTAAGAATGACTAGCAGGCACATGCTGTAATGCACAAACAGAGAAGAAAACCTATAACTTAACCTTCCAAGACAATCATGGATGAAGAAAATCAGAACATTGAGAAACTAATGAGCAGGAGAAACTTTTTTTTTTCGAGTCCCATTAACTATAGAGGTAGAGGATCGAACTATGCTCCTTCAAAATGATAATCGATGTCTTACCTACAGAGTTGTGTTCAACAGCAGACCAAAATAAAGTACTGAAATTGTGAAAAGCCCCCAGATCATGCTCCATAAGCCAATTACTCCACAAAATGACTAAAAACTGATCTTTAAAAAAAAAAAAGGTCTTTCGAGAAGTGTATTGTAACGGCCCAGGCCCGCCGCTAGCAGATATTGTCCTCTTTGAGCTTTCCCCTTTGGGTTTTCCCTCAAGGTTTTTAAAACATGTCTACTAGGGAGAGGTTTGCACACCCTTATAAAGGGTGCTTCCTCCTCCCCAACCGATGTGGAATCTCACAATCCACCCCCTTCAGGGCCCAGAGTCCTCGCTGGCACTCGTTCCTTTCTCCAATCAATGTGGGACTCCCACCAAATCCACCCCCTTCGGGGACCAGCGTTCTTACTGGCACACTGCCACGTGTCTACCCCCTTCGAGGAACAACTTCCTCACTAGTACA